CTTTTCCATGTCAGAGGTCGGCAAGTTCCCAACAAAAATTCTTCTCTCCAAATCTCGGGGATCATTACTGCTGCAGGAGCGTGAATAACGCCCTGGTGATGAGCTGTGGCTTCTTCGGCGAGACATAACTCCCAAATGTAATGGTTTCTTTCTTCGTATGTCTCAAATGCTTAAAAAAATGTGTTCGTTAGCGCCTTTAAATTGTCGTCCACGATCCTGAAACATGTCAGTGAGTTAAGAGAAGAGATCAAATTCCTTGGAAGGATAGAAAGTTTAAGTAAGCAGTAGTTGCAGGTCAAAGTCACATCAAGTTCAGACAATGAAATGCTGTGGCAAATTCATTTTGAAATGTGGCAAATATTAAAATTTGAAATAAATAGTGCTGGATAAATCGCAAATTTTTCCGAAACGTGTTAAAAAAACTTTTTTGAATGAGTCCCTCACATTTCTGGTGCTCATTTGCTTTGCAGGATATAACTTTATTTAACTTTGCATTGGACCTTTACGTATGTGAGAGCTTGCCATTATGGCACAAGGGACAGTACTGGGACATCAATGTATGATTATTAATGCTGAGTATATACAGTAACTAACTGCAAATCCGCCCTGCAAATTCGTTGATGCAATGTACCATTTTTCCCTTGTGAAAGGTTTCTGATAAAATCTTGTTTGAAGCAGTTGTTCACTGGGTCCAGAGGTTTTCAACAGGCGGCAAATTGTGTTAACATCTATATATTTCCCAACACAGACCAAATTCCAAGTGTATCTGTTTGGGCTACATTAATTCTCGGTAATGCATTTCTAAGATTGAAATCTTGGGGCAAAAACCGAGAATGAAAGATGCAGTCTGTCTTTATAAAGCTAGAGATTCATGGTGATGTGTTGGAAAAACAATAAATAAAGCCAACACAATCCTGAAGTGATTCTCATGATGTTGTCTTATGGGTAGAAGGTATATCCGGTATAAATGGCACACCTGTAGAGAATGCACCATGATATAAATTTGCTACCTAATTTGTTCAAGTATTAAACAATGTAACTATGACATAAAATGCACCATGACTCTTTGCTTTTTAACCAGTGAAAATACGCTTCCTTTAAGTTAACAGGTCATGACAGCTGTTTCCGAAAGTGTTCCTGCGCCGACATAAATAGCTGGACTGGTTGTGTAAAACGCAACACACAACCAGGCCTGATTGGTTGCTTCTATGTAAAGAGAGGTGGTCCCTGCGAACTGTTAGAAATGGCTTTAAATCGATGATAAAAACAAAAATTTCACAGTATGCACTACGAAGCCGCAAATATTTCATATCTCAAAGTTAAACCGTCGTTGTAGTGAGTTGTTGTTGTGGGTCAAATAGCATTGGTACCCACAGAGATACATACAGCATCAACTCTCCGGTGTGAAACTCTGCTTCCACAATTTCAAAATGGACTCTTGGCAATAAAAAGTTACATTTCCAGAGTCAGAAATTCAAAATGTTCCTTAAGTTTTAGGGTCACACTGTCCATCCCATCTTTGCTCTGTGTAGCTGATAAGTTGCCCCGTTAGGTCTGTAGCTGTGCAGACAACTATCAAACACAGTTTTCAACAAATACAAATGCAGCACATGTTCAAATAATCTTCTTCTCCTGAAATATTAAAAATGTCTTGAGGAAAATTTACATTGATGAAATTAAATTATAGGCTCACAGCAACCATGAAAATGCCAAAATTTAAATGTTTTTTTTGCTCAAACAGTGTTCAGGATAAACTGATGTTGTACGTGGCCTAGATGGCACAATACAAAATAATTCATGTTACAAACTGATATTAGAGAGTGAAGACATTTCTGTTACATTATATTTAAGGTTTGAGGAAATGTACATCAGTGTTTTTATGGAGCAGCCCCTTACATACCTTAACTTGAACCTGGACGCCCTGGATTCTGTGTCCACATAATTAGAAACCCCCAAAGCGTCTGAAAGGAAAAAAAACAAAGAGTCATTAACCACTTTACACACACAATCAACTGAATCTGCATCTAGTCTATGCATAAATAAATATATTATTTTCTCCAATTTAGAGGTCTGCACCTGCACAGACATTTCACTCCACCTCTACCGGTTCCTGTAGCCTATATTACCAAAATGCATATGGTAACCATGGTGAAGGTTACAGCCAAACTAGGTAAATTATGCCCCAAGTAATCGTGGTGCAACCAATTTTAGTAGCTGATTTAGTTACAGACTAACAAGTGTGTTGACTTTGGAGAGAGCCTACACACAGCTGGTGCAACAGACTGTGTGGGGAGAGCTAATAATCAATGTCAGTGAAGGTAAGAGGACGTTTATATTAAGAAACAACTCCACAAAATGGACCTACAGTCTTTCAAGATGTTCCTTTATTGATCCCAGTGGGAGAAATTAAAGTTTGACACAGCAGCACTGGGGAATGTCGTGCAAATAGTAGAGAAGAGTAAATATAAATAAAATAACGAACAGAAAATATGATATATACTATAATATACACACTATGCAATGTGCAATAAAGTGGAATATGGTGTGAAGTGTGTAACTGCACATGTGAAATCGTTGCAAGGTGAGTTTGTGCAAAAAGAGTTTAAAATTCAGATTATTTAGAGAATAATTAAATAAAATTCACACCAATCTTATCGAGGAAGAGGTACAGATTATTTATCGTTGACACATACAACCCCGGGATATGAGGGCAGATTATGTGGCTAACATTACCTGTTGTTAGAGATTAACATCGCTGCACCTTTAACCCGACACACACCTGCGCTGACGGTGATGACGCTCCGATGTACGTGAAGCTACACTGACGTCAGCTGTTAGCTACTCAACGTTAGCTCGAAACACAACGGCGGAGTTAGCTTCGTAGTTAGCCACCTAGCTACGTTCAGGAGCACTGCGCTGTTAGTTATTGTTTAAAAACAGGAGTTTACTCACCTTCAACGTGGATTGTATCTCCGTTTGTAGTAGCTCAGTTTGCAGTAGCTCAGGTGGACCCACGGCCCGGAGATATTTCACGGTCTTCTCACTAAGACGCTCTTCTTTTTTTAAATTTATGGCGGATTAAAATAGAAACTTTTAGAAGCACACCGCCACCTACTGTACTGGAGTAGGTGGGACAGGATATACTTTGGTGTTTAATAACAAAATACAATAAATAAATTAATTATTCTTCCATTTATCCGTTTACTGATAAATCTATTACCTCTGTGTTTCCCCACACTTTATCTCCATTTGTTCCTAGCAGAGCCATTAAGATAATCATCTGGCCTCACAACCCTTAATTCATCTGTTTGACAACGAGCATTATTACGTGGTCCGCACTTCCAGTTATATTTCAATGCACACATCCTTGTTACTTTACCCAAAAGAAACCGTCTCTTATTTAGAGCAGTGTGATAAAACCTTAATCTGGATAAAACTACCTCCTCTACTTCCTTTAACGCTCTGTGCTCAAATTGTCTTTTGTAGTTTATAGTTCAAAGTTTAAATTAATCACCACCAAACATCCCACACGTGTATGTACGGTACAGGAAAAAGT